TWAWTTTTTTTTCTTTGCTTTGTGTATTTTCCAGGCAAGCACTATGGCGTGTACAGCTGTGAAGGTTGCAAAGGTTTCTTTAAACGAACTGTACGCAAAGACCTGAGCTACACCTGCAGGGATAACAAAGAGTGCCTGGTTGACAAACGCCAGCGCAACCGTTGCCAGTACTGCCGCTACCAGAAGTGCCTGGCTATGGGTATGAAGAGAGAAGGTATGAAACAAGAAGCATCGTACAAATGTTCCTCAAATGGCTTTTAAAGGATCATGCTTTCTCGCACACATTTATACCAACTTGTTACATATTTAATTTTAGAAAGACCTAAGTATTGGTGTTGGTTCTGTTTTTAATATACTAAATTTTGCCAGGTTTTGCACTCGGCAAAATAGTGGAAGTAAATTTGGTGTAGTGTGACATTTTTAGGTTATTTTGAATGTTGGCATGCACAACCACAGGATAGGATGTCAGTGCTGGTTATAAAAGTAACTCCTCTCTGTTTCATCTTTTACTTCAATCCTTTCTCCTGCTTTCAGTAAGAATAAACCAGAAAAAATATAAACAAAAAGATGGACAAAGTAAGAGATAAATGCTGGTTAAATTTTGTAGATGTTTWAACTTTTATATGTAGAAATTCAAAGCTGATGATGTTAATGTTTGACTTGGTGCACTGGAGTAAAAAGAAGGGAAAAAAACCTGTACTGACTGTTGGGCTTTACTGCTTTGTGATGATGGACTTGCTCTGTCAGGCAGCTGTGGTTCTGTGCAGAGTTTGTGAAAACGTGTGGAAAATCTGGATTGAATCTTTGTTGATGCAGCAACGATACAACGGCTCACAGTTTAGTAAAGATCATAAAGGTCAACGCGAGGCGCCTTATTTGCTGCCTGGCTTTCAGTTTTTACATGTAGCTTCAAATGAGGCTGTGTGTTGAAACGCAAGGGTTCGCAGGCTCCATTTCATCACCAGTTAATCACTTTCCTCTGACACTTTWCAAGAGGGCCGCAGGTCTGTCAGAGTGTCTGTTCTCTTTGGGTTATTAGATGATAATGTGCTGCAGAGTCTGACTTTTCAAAAAGAAATCAGGATATTAGTTGTTTCAACCAGCCTGTGTTRATCAAGTTTTCCTTCGGTTGTTTTGCTCTCATTAATTTCTCATTAAAACATCTAAATCTGTTCACCATTCAGACATGAGGAAGGAAGATAAAACCTGATGGTTTGTTTGAATCATTTATTGATAACTTGCAGTGGTTAATGTTTCAGTTTGCAAAAATGTGGCTTCCTATTATTAAAGAACCATCAAAGACAGGGCTGCAACAACGAATCGAAAAAAATCGATTATTAAAAGCGTTGGCAAAGAATTTCATTATCGATTCGTTGTGTCGCGCTATTTATGCGTCCCTCGCCATGTCACAGAGCCGTTTACGTCACCCACAGAGCATTTAGGAAGAAAAAAACTGTACCTGTAAAGATCTGCCCTCTCTGAGACCCGAGTGAAAAGTAGAGACTTTGAACTTCAAACCGGTTTTTAAATTGTGTTGTTAGGCCAAGTAGATCCTAAGTTGTGATAAAAATAATATGTCACATTTATTGTTTCTTAAATGACAGTCTAATTTGATGCACACCCCATCGCGAGGACGCACGTCCCCTGGGGGGGAGTACCTTAGTCCACCATTGGCTCCTCCTTCTCTCTGGCCAGAAAGATAAAACCCTCCCGTCTTTTTTTTCTGACCAAGGCTCAAAGTTATTTGATAAGCAGCAAAAAGTTTCAGGACGAAGGAAAAAAAAAAAGACGTGAGCAGAACTCCTGGTCTGACTCTGTAAGGAAACGGGGGAGAGATGCAGGGCTGCTTCAGAACCGCTTACTGGGTCATAGAACACCGTTTTAGCCACACAGAACCAACAAGAAGGAAGCAAAACGTAAAGAATTAGAGAAAAATCATAAATGCAAATAAATTGTAATTATAATAAATTAATAATAGTTTTACATCTAAAAATCATATTTTATTCTTTTTATCTGTTTTCCTTATTCAGCAACTTGTTTTATGTTTTATAGCTGTAACCAAGTTTATTAATGTATGAGAAATCCACATATTTTTGTTTATTCTTCCAGTCAGT